AGGGCTCTCAGGGGTCTCCATCCAGGGCTCTCGGGGGTCTCCATCCAGGGCTCTCGGGGGTCTCCATCCAGGGCTCTCGGGGGTCTCCATCCAGGGCTCTCAGGGGTCTCCATCCAGGGCTCTCAGGGGTCTCTATTCCTGTGGGCAGAGCGCCGATATTGGTTTCTAATTCTCCTTCCATCTTCCAATATGAATTATTTGGTAGAGTATTCCCACACAGTTGTGTGTTTACAAGTATGAACTTGACTTGTTAATTGTGATACTGGATCATTGTAACTGTTCTTATCTTCATAAACCCAAGGTTACCTTGCGATGATTTCGGGGCTCAGCGTCTCCCCCGGCCCGGTCGTCGACCAGGCCTCCTGCAACATGCTGGTATCTGTAACCAGACATATATTTTTTTAATGTAAAAAGACATTGTAAATGAGAAACATTTACCCTACACGCGTGTTTCAACGTTGTCCATTGTAAAATAACTCGTTACTGTGGCAACTTGCTTAGCCACAGTAATGAGCAAAAAGTATTGTAGTCGCGTTCTTTAACCCATTAAAGACATTCTTTATTTCTTTTAAAGACATTAAAGACATAACCCATTTAACCCATTCTCTCTCTCTAACCTTAATGCTTCGATCAAATCTTCCCTAGCAGTAAAATAGGTACCTGGGTGTTAGTCAGCTGTCATGGGCTGCTTCCTGGGGGTGGAGGCCTGGTCGAGGACCGGGCCGCGGGGACACTAAAAAGCCCCGAAATCATCTCAAGATAACCTCAAGATAACCTCCCCTGTCACATGGGCACTAGTTTGTGAGGTGGTAGAGAAGGGGAGGGTGTTATGAAGTTCTTCTCCTGCCAGAGATTACTACACACACTGGTCCAAGCGCTCACAACCTTGGTTATGGCACCTCGGCCTTGGGCTATCCTCGTCCAAGCTCCAGTCGACCTCATTTCCCCTTTGGAAGTGGACGAGATAAGCAACGATACTTCTGGAGCAGTTAGACAACATGGGGCAGTTCGGTCGGCATCCAGTGACTTGTCAAACATCGCAGCTAATACACAGTTACACTCTACTCACTTCAAGACCCCGGGCCAACGCAGAAGCTGAACCGAAGGATCCTGCAACAGGAATGGAAGTAGCCGGAAGAAATCTATATAACATCTTACCACCGCACCATAAGAGGATATAACTAGGTGCTAATACAGGTGGTTACGACTCTGTTCAGAGGCTCAACACGATCTCCGACTATTTCATTATCTTTACAAAGAATAACATGGACCGGTCGGCCGAGCGGACAGCACGCTTTACTTGTGATCCTGTGGTCCTGGGTTCGATCCCAGGCGCCTGCGAGAAACAATGGGCAGAGTTTCTTTCACCCTATGCCCCTGTTACCTAGCAGTAAAATAGGTACCTGGGTGTTAGTCAGCTGTCACGGGCTGCTTCCTGGGGGTGGAGGCCTGGTCGAGGACCGGGCCGCGGGGACACTAAAGCCCCGAAATCATCTCAAGATAACCTCAAGATGGAGGCAAAGTAGCAACGCATCAAAGTCAGTTAAACAAGTGCATGAAGAACACAGAGCATAATGAAAGCAATGATGCAAAGATTTTGGAGAATAATGTTAAGGAAAGCCATGCAAAAATTGCCACTCACGAGCCTACGTTTGCCCAAGTTAAAAGAACAAATTATTTTGTTGTTTCCCGGGAAACAGTATGAAACAACATTCAGTGAGACTTCCACAGTAAACAGTCATCTCCACGGTAAACAATTGCTGAGGATGCTGGACACAAATGAACATACTTGAGGTAGAGGGGAAGTGCATACATGAAGGCACATGTAACTGTATATGTTCCTTGAAGCATGAGGTGAAGTGCTACCCAGTCGTAGCTATTGTGAAGTGCCTCCAGTCCTGGTATAATTAGTAGTAGTACCGGACAAAGAGTCTTACGGGCTATTCATGCCCGTGCCACCTCTTGGGTGGCTTAATCTTTATCAATCAACAAAGAGTCACAGGAGACATCTACCGTCACGCAGGGTGCAGTTGCGCCTCCACAGATCTCCAGTATCATCTTTTGATACTGGTAATGGCTCGAAAGGGCCACCACTTACGGGCTATTCATGCCCGTGCCACCTCTTGGGTGGCTTAATCTTCATCAATCAATCAATCGACAAAGAGTCACAGGAGACATCTCCCGTCACGCAGGGTGCAGTTGCGCCTCCACAGATCTCCAGTATCAGCTCTTGATACTGGTAATGGCTCAAAAGGGCCACCACTTACGGGCTATTCATGCCCGTGCCACCTCTTGGGTGACTTAATCATCATCAATCAATCAATCAATCAAAGAGCGGTAAGTCCACTACGGGCTCACCATAGCCCGTGCTACTTGGAACTTTTGTTCCAAGTTGCTGAATCTTAAAGAACAGGAGAAGGAGTGGTACTGTACCCAAGATATGAAGGTAATAGGTATCGGCTGCAAGGAAAGCCGCAACATTCTGCAGTCATTGTAATTTTTCAGCTGGGTGAGGCGGCGTCTGGCCTCCCAGCATGAAAAATGACTCAACTTTGCAAAGTTGTGGTGGCTGAACGAGACGACGGTGGGCCACTGACCACAGGTACCAGAGACTTCTTCGTCGCCATTCCAACACGAAATGGTCTCTGTAAGACCCTTATTTTGTACGTGGGTTGTAGGCACAAAGGGAAAAATGAGTCACAACCGATCTTGAGCAGAGAGCTACTTTCTGATTGGCTGGGCGATGTTCTGCGAGGGTAGTGACTGCTCGTTCTCCAAACTTGGTTGAGTGCTCCAGTTTTAAAAGTTATCCAATCTGTGTTAATGCTTCGCCGGGGGAACTTTACAAAATTTAAGGGAACAGTCGACGCCTGGTGCAAGGATCCATTATAGTTTTTATTTACAGAATGGCGGTGATAACTGCTTTTAATGGAATGGTTTACGAAAAATATTGCGCCCGATGGTAGGCTTAAACTCGAGTATCGCTTGGCAGCGTAGAAAGATTATCTCTACAGCGGATCGAGGATGGCAGGAGTGTGTGCAGGGACGCCATATTATCTTACACACAGAAATGGCAATAACGTGATATATCACACAAACAAATCCACAAGGGCCTCGATGAGGGTTCGAACCTACGCACGGGATGTTTCCAGACGCGCCTCTCTCAACCCTCATTCGAACCCCCTTCAAGGCCCTTGTAGATTTTTTCAATATTATCTTAATCAGGCTGGAGCGCTCCGATGCAGGCGACGAGTCGCAATAACGTGGCTAAAGTATGTTGACCAGACCACACACACTAGAAGGTGAAGGGACGACGACGTTTCGGTCCGTCCATTCTCAAGTCGCTCCGATGGTTACACGCGGCCAGTGAATTATGAGTCAGGCGACAGATTTTCTAGCAGGCATATTTAACAGTAGGCAGCATGAAGCTGTTATATTGCTGCTTATATGTCCCGTGATCCGACACTGCCTTGGGACAACCTGAAGATAGCTCAAGTGTATTTAAGGCAAACAATCTATTGGAACCTAAAGGCATACGGGTGTCGAGGGGCTGGAGGAGGTGTACAAGTTCGAGGGATGGTGTCGGAGAGGACTTAATGGGAGGTTGAGACAGTTATAATGACATGAGGGGAAAAGACCTGATTGGGTTGAGAGGATTTGATGAGGTCTGAAAGGTTTTGTAGACAGTAAGACAGGTGGTAAAGAAGGAGTTCTTCAGGAGGAACTCCTGAAGAACTCGAGGAGAACTTGAGGAGTTGTAGTAAGAGAAGGGTTTTGAAGTGGTTAAAGGGGGATGGAGAATATTTAATTTTAGGTCAGAATTCGTGAAACGTATCTAATCTAATATAATATCGTATCTAAGATAATGAATTTAAAGGCTGAACGTCTTACCACATGTGTCTCCGTGGTTGATATCCGTCAGCGGCGGTGGAGCTGAATTAGTGGACCTGTTCTCTGAATTGACCACTCCGTTAATAACACGACTGTTTTAGCAGATCAGAAACGTACAAACCCAAGCAACCCATTAACCCAATCAAGGCCAATGATAGAAAACGTTTATATTAGTGCTTTAATTGTTATTAATATGCTGCATTTTCAACGGATTGGTCAATTCCCTAAATTCCCTGATGTATTAGAGAGAGGGGGGCGCATAGAACTGTCAAATTGTGTTTACACTTTGTGTAAGGTGTGTAAAAGATTAGTAAGTAAATGATAAGTTTACACAAGGTATTCCAACACCTAAATAAGACAACAAAGTCTGTAAAAGTACAGTGAACAATAGAGAGGCACTAAAGAGGTCTAGGAATGAATACACCCGAATTAGGAGAGAAGCTGAGAGGCAATTTGAAAATGACATTGCTGCAAAAGCTAAGGAACAGCCAAAGCTGTTCTATAGCTACATAAGGAGAAAAACAACAGTGCGAGACCATGTACTCAGATTGAGGAAATGAGGGGTATCTCACAGAAAATGATGATGAGGTATGCGAGGAATTCTACGAAACATTTCAGGATAAGTTTACACAAAAACCAGCATGGAGATCAAGGCTTCAAGGTGAAAGGTCGGAGGAAATACTGGATGGCATTGCAGTCTCTGTGGAAAAGGCCAAAAAAATCTTGGAGGAACTAGATTCCCTTAGCACTGACTACTCTATTTAAAACTTGAACGTTTTTCATCAAACGTTGACTACATTAGTAAATCTACACCTTAGCAAACGTCCAGTTTCCCCTGGCAACCACACACACACACACACACACACACACACACACACACACACACACATATATATATATAATATATATATATATATATATATATATTTATTATTAAATATGACCGAAAAAGTAAGATTAATAATTCTAACACAAATTTTCTCTATCTTTATGTTTCTTTTCACTGTTGATGGTAATTCAAAGATCAATTCTCCAAAATTCATTTTTATTTCTAGTCTGACGCGACACTTGAGCGCGTTTCGTAAAACTTATTACATTTTCAAAGACTTTAGTTTACAAACACACAACTGAAACTGAATAGAGCTTTGCACATCTTCGAGTTTATATCTACATTTGGGTGAGGTGGATGAGGTGAAAACGAACTTTCAACAATGGGTATTAAATTCAAACACAAGACAGAACACGAAACAATGGGTATTAAATGGGTATTAAATTTAATCATCGATAGATACAGCGATAGCAGGCGGCTTGACGTTTGCGAGGCACTACAGATCAAGAAGTCAACACCAGCAATCAACAGCCAATTAATGCACAACTATATTCTACCCACTTCAAGACTCCGCTCCAATATAGAAGCATCAAGAAATATGGACCAATAGGCTTTCTACAATTACTTCCATTCAATACCCATTGTTTCGTGTTCTGTCTTGTGTATGAATTTAATACCCATTGTTGAAAGTTCGTTTTCACCTCATCCATCTCACCCAAATGTAGATATAAACTCGAAGATGTGCAAAGCTCTATTCAGTTTCAGTTGTGTGTTTGTAAACTAAAGTCTTTGAAAATGTAATAAGTTTTACGAAACGCGCTCAAGTATTCGTTTGCCTTGTTCGGGTAGAATGTAGACACAGTAGTCGCTTCTGTATATATTTATTGACCGAGACAACAAGGTATATATCTGGCCAACCGAGGTCCACCTTACTCTGGGTCTGAGAGAGAACTGAGGCTGCTGGGAGCATGGCCAACCGAGGTCCACCTTACTCTGGGTCTGAGAGAGAACTGAGGCTGCTGGGAGCATGGCTTGATGCTCCTCTGTCTGGCATGACGTCAGAGGTCTACTTGCCTGTGATTGGTTACATTTTAACTGACAGAATTTGAGTATAACACAAGTGTCGCGTCAGACTAGAAATAAAAATGAATTTTGGAGAATTGATCTTTGAATTATCATCAACAGTGAAAAGAAACATAAGAAAGATAGAGAAAATTCGTGTTAGAATTATTAATCTCACTTTTTCGGTCATATTTAATAATATATGTCTACAGGAAAGACTGCTACCAAAATATATATATATATATATATATATATATATATATATATATATATATATATATATATATATATATATATATATATAATAATTAATGTTAATTGTGGATTTCCATCAAATTCTAAGAATATTTTGTGAATTTCTCTTATCCGCATGCTCTGTATTCCCAACTGGAAATAGGACTGAATGAAACCGATTTGCACCTCAGACTTTCCGAGTGCCGAGGTGCGGCTCCGGAGTCCTCGCCGAGGACGCCGCGCTCCCTCGGCAGACTCAAGTCTTGTCAGGATTCAGCAGAGGTGATAACGTCGCCGCTGAAGCCCGAGGAAATGGAATATTGGCGAGGCAGCAGGAACCCGGAGCAGCCAGCCACCACCACCGCCACGCCAGGAGAGCGATAACGGGGCGCTGGAAGGGACCGGAAGACAGGAAGGAAGAGTGGGGCCGGCTGGTAGGTGGAGGATGAAGAGCCCCGTGGAAGGTCCTGAAGAGCCGCCCGCTCGGTGGCGGGTGGTTGGCCGTGGACGGTCTCTAGCTTGGTGAAGGATGGTTGGGTATGGTAGGCGGCAGACGGTTTTAATCTCAAACAAATGCACAATATGAGGAGAAGCGTGAAAAGACATGTACAGCAGTACACAATAAAGAGAAAACAGATTCCAGCATCTATAAAAGACGAAAATCTGGGAGAACACCCGAATTAGGTTCGAGAATTTGGACATATGAACCTATGAGTGCTACATACAACCAACGTGAGACCCATTTTCGAATATGAACCCCCCAGCATGGTTCATATTCGAAAATGAAAAAAAAACTAAAAAAATAATAAAACTACAGAAGATTGAAATACGAGACTCGCTTCTGATGCGAGGGGACTGAGCTGTGAACAAAGACTGAGGAAACTGTATCTCGACAGATGATGAGCAGAGACGGAACGAGAGAAAACATTTCAAGTACCATAAAATTTTTATGTAAATTAACAGATTAAGAAGCAACATAGGACACCAGAACGAAGGGACACGACAGAAAACGAGATACTACAGTGAGAAAGGTGTCATAACGCTTGTAGTGTAGTTATAAATGAAGAAATGGTTGTTATTAACATAATGCGCCCTCAAACAAGAGAACAGCGTCGTTGCACTGCACGACTAATAAATGGAAAGTTCGGGGCTGAGGATCTGAAGCTCGGCCCTGCATTCACATCTAAGGATGTGTGAGAATCAAGGATCAGGGGAGCCGGTCGGCCGAGCGGACAGCACGCTGAACTTGTGATCCTGTGGTCCTGGGTTCGATCCCAGACGCCGGCGAGAAACAATGGGCAGAGTTTCTTTCTCCCTATGCCCCTGTTACCTAGCAGTAAAATAGGTACCTGGGTGTTAGTCAGCTGTCACGGGCTGCTTCCTGGGGGTGGAGGCCTGGTAGAGGACCGGGCCGCGGGGACACTAAAGCCCCGAAATCATCTCAAGAGAATGCTGAAGGCCACGTGGGTAGGAAAATTAGGGGGGGGGGGGTAGAAATAGCCTAAGCTTCTCTATTGTTGACCAGACCACACACTAGAAATTGAAGGGACGACGACGTTTCGGTCCGTCCTGGACCATTCTCAAGTCGATTGTGTCGATTGACAGCTTCTCTATTATTTTGAGATGTATTT